CGAACACTTAATGCTATTCAAGAACTCGGGTGTGTGGAGATCAGCCAAAAAGCCATTGCCGGAATCCGATTAGACGTATTGTCAGAGCTCAAATATGTACGACTTTCAGCAGAATTCATATCCGACATGTATTGATTGATAGACTCAACGACCTCTAAAGTAGGCGCTAATATAGCTCTGTCCTTCAAATAACTTGGATCGTCAGTTGCATTTTTGAACATTGGATAGGTACTTTCAACGATTGTAGCAATTGGATCATCTGAGGTTTCCAATCATATATACGAATAGAAATACCGAAACCAACTAAAGTTGTCAATTATTTCGAATAGTCTAAGCATTACCCAAATGCAGTAAATACGAATAGAAATACCGAAACCACCGGAATAGTAACCAAATAAACTAATAATCTATTAATAACTTAAGAATAAATAGCCTTCATTCAATCTCCTTTCTTCAACTTCTTTTTCGGCACAGCAGATTCTTCAATTATTTGTGCCTTGCTAATGTTGAGGGAAAAGATGACCATATTGAGGGAAATTCCACCATATTTAATAACACAAGTTCTCCTGTGAAACACAAGTTTCCATATGTTGGTTATGATATCTTTCTTCCCATTATTAAATTCAACATCATAGTTGCGGATTGCAGGGGCGAAGCCAGAAAATTAATTGAGAGGGGGCAAAAGACACAACATAAAGGGTTCAGAACCGATACCGAAATGATAACATTTCGGTAATCGATACATATAAGTCGGTTCGGTTCGGTTCGGTTTATTTTCTCTTTAGTTTTGTTCGATTCAGTTCGGTTTCAGGTTTTCGATCAAAAAATACCAACTCTAGCCTGGACAATAAAAAAGAGTTGAAGCCTTTTATATAGACCAATTAAAATTGTAGAATGAAAATCTAAAAATCAATAGTAAAATAAAAGAAATGTAAAATTGTTAATTGATAATTATCGACAAGTTGGTATAGTGAGTGACATTTGAAAATAAAAAATTTGGGGTGCAAAAATAAATTTAAAGAAAGTGGGGATAGTGCAAATTAAAATTTTTAATATCAATAGTAAAAGAAATTAAAATTTA